ATGAACTGGAGCCTACTAGCTGTCAAGGAGGCTGCGCAGTCTGAGCTGGTCATGATTGGGACCTTGGGGAGTCTGCGGCTGCAGGCAGAGGGAGCTTAGTCCCGCTGTTTGTGTAGGACTGGGTAGCCTGCAAACTGCTGACCACGGTTACTGTTTCTTTATGGGTCACGGGTAAGGACAGTAGCAGAAGCTCTCAGGAGAGAGAGCAGGAGCCTAGCGTGACAGCTTCAGACAAAAATGAAGGGCTCAGAGAAGGGGGAAATGGGGAACACAGCTGGGGTCTGTGACTGTCTGTGGAGTGATTGCCCAAGAGTGTGGGTACAACACACACTGTGTGACTGTATGCACCCTCCACACCCCACTAGCTAGCCCTTGGCTTCCCAGGTAACAGTGGGAAATGGAAGAATACAGACATCAAAGACAGACTGAGAACAGGGCCACCAGGAGGGCTCTCTTCTCTGGCTCATCTTCCGTTTTACATGAGTCTATCTCTCCCAGGCCCCAACTCCACAAAGGACTTGCTTGAGGTGGTCTGAGTACACATATCTAAGCCAGTCTGAAGGAGTCCCAAGGTAATGTCGAGGAAAGGGAGGCGCTTGTCCCCGGTCCCCCCAGTGATGTGGTTGTGCTAGTTGAGCCCTGAATTTGACCCAGCTTCCTGCCAGCCAAACCAAAAGGGGATATACAACAATTTCTAATGTTCTAGTTGCTTGATCAGAGGCAAATTAACAACTCAGCATGGGAAATAACCTTTTTTCCCCTGTGAACTATGAGAAGGGCAAGGAATATAAACATTCTAATGGACAGTGTCCCCAGAGGTTGAAAAATACCTTTGTATGACCCTTTTCTTTTACTGTGTGTCACTTGGAGCTACTGTTTTAAAACCTTCTAGTTAATTATTTTGTTTTTCTGCTTTTTTTTGAGATAGGATCTAACTGTGTAGCCCAGGCTGACCTGGAACTCTGGATCCCCCTGCCTCTGGGTGCTAAGATTATAGGCATGTGCTGCCATTCCTGGCCTCCAGTAAATTCTTGATATCTGTAGTTTATATATATTCATTCATTCATTCATTCAATAAGCACTTGGGGGAGGCTGCAGGGAAGCCCTATGTTCTGAAAGGAGAGAGACAAATGATTGTTATATATGGGGGTACTATGACAAAGTCATATACAAAAAGCCACATAGTGAGGAAGCATAGGGGTTGTGATGACTTAGTCGGTGGGTATAGAGCCAGAGATGGCTTCAGCAAGGACGTCATATCTGAGTTGGGTCTTATGGACAATGTAGGAGCTCTTTACATACTGGGATGGGACCTCCACAGAGACATATTGGAGCCTGGAATGTGGGAGGTACAGCTTGTTCAGCACCCTTGTAGAAGCCCAGGAGATCAGAGAGAATCCAGAAACCCTTCAAACATCACAGGCAGCTCCAAGGATAGACTGGAGGTACAACTGAACACCCACATAAAAGAGTGTCCTGCTCCTAGAGTGGCAGAGGGAGCATTGTCGAATCCCAACAACAGAGGCTGGGCCCCTGCTGGCTGCGGACGAAGCTGCTAATGCCCCTCTGGTGCCCACGAGCCTGGGCTCTTTAGTGAGGCTCTCCCTTTGCCTCCTGGAAGCCAGGTGCTTCAGTGACTGGCTCAGTGGGGCTTCCTTCCCCACATGTTGAAAATACCTAGTCTTGCAAACCCAACAGTTTGGAGCGACTCTGTGCACTTCCTCTGTCACTGAACAAATCAAATATTGGTTTCCACCTGGAAATTTAAATATGTGAAGAAGGGGCAGGGAATCCCCATCAGCCACACTCTCTCCAACTGACTCTGTTTCCTAGGGGGAAAACCTAAGTATTCCCCCACAGGTTCAGTTACCAGTCACATCTGCAAATGGAGTACTGGAGGCTGGGGCCAGGGATGGGCGTGAGGGGTTTGCTGACTCTTGGCTGCAATGCTGAGGGCCTGGAGGACCATGCTCATTGTTTATCTTTGTATCCATGGAGGAGGTCCATCATGGTCCAGCTCCAGCTGGTCTGTCTTCATGTCCTCTCCCTGGGCCAGTGCCCCATCCTGGTTTGACTCCCTCTTTCCCTTTACCTCTAAGCTCTGCCCAGCTGTTCCAACTCAAGGGATGGAGCTCTCTCAGCCCACCCCCAGAAACCTTTCCTGACCACACCACACCCTGTGAGAATGAATGGCTCTGTGCTTTTCTCCATCTTGGGTGGACTTCCCAGGGCTCTGCATCTTTCTCTGGGAGCCTGTGGAGGGTCTCCTTTGTTTCACACACCTGCATGCACACAACAGGACCTAGCATGGGTGAGACAAATGTCCACTCACTGCTCAGGCATCCACTAGGGAGACACAGAAAGAGGAACTAGGACCAATGTCCAGGCATCCAGGAACTCTAGAAGGTGCCGCCTCAAAAGAGACCCTCCTAGAGGCATGGCAGTGCGCTGAAGGAGATAGCTGCCTCTGGTGAGCTTTTATCTCAGATGCATGCTTAGCAAACTAGAGGCTAGGACACTACAGGGAGGAATTCTAGACAGCGACGTTTCCCCAACAGCTCCCTGCTACATGGAAAGCAGATATGTTCTTCAAATGCTTCTCTTTCTAACTCACAGCAAGAAATGTATTTTCCTCTCTACCCACTGATATGTGAACCATGATTTACAAAGTAAGGCTTATCTTTTCTGTGAAAGCCTTGGTCTCTGTTCTATCCCTTCTAACTCCATTACCAATGAGCTGGGGAACTAGCTCAACTGGAGAGTGCCTGCTTGGCACGCATGAAGCTTTCAGTTCAAGCCCCAGCACCGCAGGAAATTGAGTGTTATGATCCATGCTTGTTATCCCTCCCCTGAGGAGCTGGATGTAGGAGGGCCAGAAGTTCAAGGTCATTTTCAGCTACACAGTAAGTTTAGGTTAGCCTAGACTACTCGCCAAACCCTGTCTCAAAAAATCCCAAAATAGCATCAACAAGAACCAACTAAAATAAAACAAAACAAAAAACCCAACTTTAAATAATTGGAACCAACTGTTGGGTTTCATCACTGTCATGGGCCAGGTCTCACAGCTGGGTAATTATCAAGATGCTGGAGTGAGGTGGACCCACCTTTGAATCCTGTGCCTAGGTCCTGTGTGGCTCTAAGCACATCACATTTTACCTTGAGGTCTCAAGCGTTTGCATTGAGGAATGGAACAACACGCAACATGCCTTCATGGGCAGAGCTTGAGGTTGCGATGGAAGGCACCGGTGAAGCCCTTGACACAGTGCTCTCTGAAAATCAGAGCGCACTTCCTGAGCAGTGTCCCTGCAAACTGAGGCCGAGGGCTGCAGTGAGATTGATAGGGAACACAAGCCCTGGTGTCCCTAGGTGTTCCCTGTTGAGGACAGCTCAGCCAGAACCTCTGGGGCTTATCAACCATCTCCCAGAAGTGATTCCAAAAACCTGTAGCAAAGAATCCCTAGGCCCATAGCAGGCCCGGTACTTCAAAGGAGAAGTGGGGCCGAGGACTGGGTCTACCTGCGTGGCGATCACTAGAAAACCGCAGTAATTAACATGGTGTGCTATTGGCATAGGGATAGATAAATAGACCAATGAAACAGGATCCAGGCTGGAAAGCCATCTGTGCACATATGGAACCTTGATATATGGGTAAGGAGATGTACAAATCAGCAGGGAGGGATGGACTCTTAATAACCAGCGAGGGGCAACTGGTTATCCATTCAGAAATGGGGAGAAGGAAAAAATTAGATCTTTATACCGGACACAAAAATCAATCCCAGGTGGATTAGAGACCGAAATGCAAGAGGCAAAGGCACCTAATATGGTCAGCTCCAGGTCCTGCCCAAACTCCCCAGGCATAAACATGGCCTCATGGGAGACAGAGTGAGCGCCTGGGGAGGGGCACAGGGATGTTCAGTCAAGGTGGCCCTGTCACGGCGAAGACAGGTGCAGACCTTAGTCATCTTCCCGTCTCACCCCAGTGCCTCCTGCTCTGGAAAGTCTTTTCCTGGTGACCATTGCGCAGTAGACATGGGTCCCCCTCTACCTGCTGGGCCTGCCAAGTGGTGCCTCAGAAACAGCAACCATCTTTTCCCCAAGTACACCGGGGCTCTCACGTCACAAGTTCTCAGCCTACTCAACACTGCCCCTGCCTGCCAAGCATGTCACCTTGAACAGCAGGGATGTGGCCTCTGGCGGCAAGGCCAGACTTCAGAGAAACCTCCAGCCAAAACTTGATACACACAACTGAATTCTTTGGCGGAAGTACTTGCAGCAGGAGTTTGGGATGGAGGCAAAGACACGCTGTTTGTGGTTATAATGTCGTCTTTCCTTGAATGGGAAGGTCCAGGCTGGTATCCCTTCTGTCTTTCCTGGAGGCCATTCTGTAATGGCTTCAGTGTCGAGGAAAGGGCTCATCACAGGCTTGGGTTTCATGAGTGACTTAAAGAAATGGACATGACACTGTCCACCACATTCGGTTGTCCTGGGTTTGATAAATCTGACCTGGAGTATTTAGAACACAATTGTTCATATGCTTCCAGAATTCAAGAATCACTCACAGAACTGTGACTTGGTTGGCTCTGTGTACTGAATTAGGGCTGAGAACTTGCGGTCAGCCTGCCCCTGGACTGGGGTTCTGTCTTATCTGTGAACACAACCCTCCTCCTCTTGGACCCCAGTTCGTCCATCTGTGAAATGGGTCTGGATTGAGTGATCCCTTAAACCCCTTTTAACACTTGTTTCTCACCTTGTTGTCCGAGAGCCTCCAAACCAGAAACCATGCTGCCCCTGCCCTTGGCAAGTAGACTCCTATTTGCTTACTTTGATACCCTCCCTGGCCTCTGGGGCTGAGCCAGGGAAATTTGACTTCTTGCGATGCTGTGTGGACTCCTGCACATCTTTTCACCTGGGAACAGTGGTTGGTTCTGGATACGTGTGCTGCTCCCTTGAGCTGCATCTGCCTCTGTGCTACATGCTCAGATGTCTGCTTTCTCTTTCAGACCACAGAGTATTCAGCCATGGCCTCACTGGCTGGAGGCCTGGACGACATGAAAGCCAACTTGACAAGCCCCACCCCTGCTGACATCGGAAGCAGCGTGCCAGGTCCACAGTCCTACCCCATTGTTACAGGTGAGCAAAGCTGGATGGGAATTTAGGGGGGGAGAGAGGGAGTGGGAGGGAGGGAGAGAGGGAGAGAGGGAGAGAGAGAGGGGAGAGAGAGAGAGAGAGAGAGAGAGAGAGAGAGAGGGAGAGAGAGGGAGAGAGAGAGAGACAGAGGGAGAGAGAGAGAGAGAGGGAGAGAGAGGGAGAGAGAGAGAGGGAGAGAGAGAGGGAGAGAGAGGGAGAGAGAGAGAGTATGAGTGTGCAGAGGGAGTTGTTCTTGTTGCTTTTGGGGATGGCTGGCCTCTGCTTTAATGAGGTTGTGAGGCCCCGGCTCAGGTCAGGAGGCAGGCTGCTGGGGAACACGGGCTGTGGCTGAGATGTCACATGGCTGCATGCTGCCCCAATAAAACTAGAGGAGAGGAAGTGCTGAGAGAGGCAGGGATTCCACTGTCCCGGGCTCCTGTGGTGGGGCCAGGTTCTCAAAGCTCTGGGATTTCTCCCTTTCACGAGCCGGGAAAATCTGTGGGTTGGCATCAGCTTCCAGGAGTAGAGGGACTCTTTGGAAGTCATCATTGGTATTTCAGACTTCCCGGCTGAGGCGAGTACAGAAGGGCGAGGGTTTGCTGGGCATATGCCAAGCAGCTGGCTTTCCTGGCAGCCCCCGTTATCACCATCAGTGTGAAGACCAAGGGTAGGGCCCTCAGGCTGGCGTGCAGCTCAGCAAGCGAGCACTGTGTGGGGCCTGAGTTCCATCCCCAGGACAGGCCTCACTCCCCTCAGGGTTCCAACCTGCCACGTGTAAGCCCTGCTCTCTTGGGTGAGTTGTACCAGAGCTCAAGCTGTGGTTTTCTGATCTGTATGCTGGGAACAGTGAAAACAGCTATAGCACAGGATTCTCGTGAGGAGGTTGCCTAGCACAAAGTAGTTAACCAGCAAGCGTGTCTGTGTGTGACTCCTCGGAGTCCTTTTGTGCTGGTCACTGTAGGACATGGGGCTGCAGGGGATCCCTTTCTCCAGCCCAGCACTGTGGAGCTTCAGAACAGCACTGCAGCCAGCTCTGGGAGGGTGTCTCACCCAGGAGGCGGGAGGGTCTCCAGAACATGGAAAATACAGACAGCGGGGGATGGTGGGCCTTACCTGGGCTGGAGCTTAGGATCCAGCCAGAGATGGCAAGATGGTCCTGATGGCTAATGGACATAACCTGAAGGTAGTGACGGAGCCAGGAAATTCCCATGTGTTAGAGTTTGAAGAGGAGGGATGAAGGAGGCAAGATTTGAGGCCCAGGGGTCATAGGGACAAGACAGGAAGCCTGTCTCTGAGACCTAACCACTAAATCAGCCCTGGGGCTCAGGGTAAAAGCAACTGAGCCCTGTGTGCAGGTCAGGGTGTTACATGAGGGTGGACAGAGCAGGGGTGACTTGGTCCTCGGTTTAGCTAAGATGGGGAACAGTCCAAAGCCAGCAGAGCCTCAGGGAGGAGGTGCGTGGAAGGGATGCCAACCAGTGAGCTCCAGCCAGTGAGGTGTCTCCTGTGGACCCCTGCCCCGGCTCACCAGGGACCTCAGTGACAACGTTCCCATTATACAGGTGCAGAAGCCAAACTCAGATGTGCCTGCTGCTTGAAGTAAGGAGCTGAGTTACAGCCACCCTAGTCTCCCAGGAGACCACACTGCAGAGGAAAAGTTGGGGCAGGATTTAGGAAATGCATTTGGGAACATGCTTATTTAGGTGGCTAATAGTCCAGTGAACACTGAGGCTAGAATTCTTGTCTGTGGGAACAAGATGAGTGCTTGCTAGCTAAGGCTAATCTAGCCTCCAGATAAATCTAATTGGGCCTCATGGGGCTTTTAGAAAATTTGAGCCAAGACTTAAAAAAATACAGCCTTCTGACTTCTCAAAAAGTCACGGGTCATGGCGGGTTGGGGCTCAGTGGCAGCAGCTCCTCAAACGCCATCACAGTCCCCAGCCAAAGGCCACCTCATTCACATTCGAAGCCATGCATGGAAAGGAGTGTGTATTATGCTTGGATCCAAAGAGTTGCTCTAGGTGCTATAGGAGCTCCTAGATCTGCAGAAGGCTGTAAGGAGTAAGATAACACGGATTGGTTTTCAGATAAGCCCTGGACCAAACGTTAGTTTGTACTTATTTGAATTTCTTCATTTGTAAAGTCGCATTATAGCACAGGAAAGGAGTATAAACATCCCTGACCAAAGTTAGGGTTAGGGTTAGTTCTGGAGTGTCAGGGACATTCTAGAGCAGCACATGAACAGCACTCAGGAAGCTGAGTTGGAGATTCAGGAGCTGGAGGCCAGCCTGGGCTGTGTAGTAAGACCCAGTTTCAAAACACAAAAACCAATGTACAAAATGGAAGGCATTTTAATTGTCAGCATAATCATTAGCTTTCTTATAAATAAATAATAATTAGCATAATAGAAAAACGAATCCTTCAGCAACAATATAGATAATACCAGAGAACAAATTTAGCTTTAGAGCTACAGTGACACAAAAATATAATGGAGAGATATGTATTTCTAGACTGACTGTCAGAAAGCTGTTCATTCCCCAAATCACCTCTTACCTTAAAGTAACCCCAAGGAAGACATGATAGACTTTGAGAAAAATCATCAAAGTGGTGCTAAATGCTGGATAAATAAACACTGTAGGATAGCTAGGGACATTCTGTAGTAAAGAAACAAGTGGAGCTTCTAGGACATTCCAAAACATATGAGAAGGGGCCAGAAAGATCAGTCAGTGGGTAAAGTGCTTGCTGTCAAGCTTGATGACCACACACACACACACACACACACACACACACACACACACACACACACTCATGCATGCACACATACCACACACGCACTCACACACACACTCATGCATGTATACACACACACTCATGCACACACACACAGACTCACACACACAACCAACCAAAGATAATAAATGTAATAAAATTTTATATATGAGCAAAAATGTATGAAATTCTAAAGTAACTAAAACTATTGTAGAAGCTGAGGTTTCAAACACATGGGCCAGGATGACTGTCATACGAACAGGTCCAAATATGTGTGGTCAGATCCCTGATTCACTGCCTCCATTGAAACAAATGGGTTATGAAATAGCAGATGCTAATTAGCCAGATTTAGTCACGACACATTGTAATGTATATCAAAACATCACAATGTACCCTATAAACATGTATATTTACATATCATTTATAACAAATTTCCAGTTAGCTGGAACTTTTTTAAAAAGCCATAATAAACAAGGACAAAAAAGAAACAAAAACCTAGGGAAAATTATATTCCTATGGTAGAAAAGGCCTTTAAATGTTTCAAATACAAGTAATTGAAAAACATTAAAATGCAATCTTGTTGTATGTGAAAACATTCGAAGACAGAAAGAAAAACTAGGGTGAGATGTAATACAGATGGTAAAAGTTAATTTGTTTAATATATCAGGGGCGTTTGTGTATACACAAAATATTGCTAGGCACTGTTTTTTATGTGTATGTGTGTGCCTGCTTGTCTGTATGTGTGCCACATGTGTGCGGGTGCCCAAAGAGTCAAGTCCCCTCGACTGTTGAGCTATCTCTCCAGCCTCTCTCTAAAGGGCTTTTAAAAACAAGAAGGGGACTGGAGAGATGACTCGGCAGTTAAGAGCACACTCTGCTCTTGCAGAGGACCTGAGTTCCAATCCCAGCACCCGTATCAGATGGCTCACAACCGTCTCCAGGTTGACACCCCAGACCTCTGCAAGCACTTCACTAGTGCACACATGCCCTACACAGATACTCATGCACACACATAATTAAAAATCATACTAATAGTTTCAAAATTAATAAAAATAATCTCTAGAAAAGCTAGGCAATGAGTGGGTAGTTTATTGGCAATAGCGCAGTGCCTCAGAGTATTTGGGAGATGTGTACCTCCTCATTGTCTCAAAGCTGCAAATGAAAACAGCTGTGAGATGCTTGAACTGATACCATTAGCTCTGGATTAAGGCTTGGTGTTGGAAAGGGCACAGGAAAGATGTTTTCATATCTTTCTATGGGAGTATAAATTGATGTAATTCCTTTTGGAGGAAAACCTGGCAATGTCTATCAAAGTTTTAAATACAGAGTTTCAATACTCTTTAAGGAACTTATTCTACAAGCCTGCAATGATGGTTTTGCCTGCCGTATATAATGGCAAACAAATGGAACCAAAGCAGACCCTGCAATAGAAACTGGCTAAGTAGGTGATGGTGCCTTCCTACAATGCAATATTATTGCTACCGTGAAAAGAAAGGCAAGGCCTGGAGAGGTCGCTCAGCGGTGAAGAGTGCTTGGTGTCCCTTCAGAAGTCTCAGGTTCTATTCTTAGCACCCATATCAGGTACCTCACAACTTCCTGAAATTGAAACTATGGCTAAGGGGATCTGTCCCCACGTCCACATACACATACATGTAAGCTAGGGGCTGGAGACGTGGCTCGGTGGTTAAGAGCATTTGCTGCCCTTGCAAGGGACTCGGGTTTGATTCTCAGCACCCACTGGGTGACTCGCACCTGTCTAACTCGCCCTCTTCTGGTTTCCACAAGCCCCTGCGTGGACACGGTGCACAGAGACCCGGCACACACACACAAGTTAGAATAAATATTTCTCTGTGTAGCTTTGGAGCTTATCCTGGCACTTACTTTGTAGACCAGGCTGGCCTCAAACTCAGAGATCCACCTGCCTCTACCTCCCGAGTACTGGAATTAAAAGTGTATGCCGCCACCAACACCTGGCTTATAATAAATATTTTTTAAAGGAGAACTATCTATAGCAACATGAATGTCTAAGACCTACATTTGATTAAAAAAACAAATTATAGAAGAATAAAGTATGATCCATATACTGTAATAGGGTATTATTAAAAATGCAAAACATAACAGTTAGAAAATTGTACTGCGGTTAGTGGAAGCATTGAATTCACACAGTAGGCAGCTACATACATGCACACACATCCTGTGTAGTGGACGCTTCTGCATGAAGTTTCAGTAGGAGG